GTGATGGTGGGCGGAGGGGCGCGGCTGTCGCTCAGGGTCCGGGTCCCAGGGTAACGAGTCCCAAGGCGACACCCCTGGCCCCGCCCCGGCAGTGGCTGCCTGGTGCTGAAGTTGGTGGGACCCGCTGGGGTTTAGAATCTTCGCGGAGTAAAGATCTCCTCGTTCGGACTCCTTCATCCCTTTGCAAGAGAAGAGGCCAGACCCCCGCAGTCGCGCACAGCCAGAGACTGACCTTTGGGGGGTTCACTCCTGGAAATGTTTTCCAGTTCATTGCCGTCCTCCCTGCAGAGGCTAAATGGCTCCGACCAGAAAGTGGTGGGGAAGCCCGAGGACACGGGGTGCCCCGCCCCGTTTCCATTTTCCGAATCACCGAAGGAGTTCCAGACCCTGTTACTTCCAGGGCAGCTGGCCGGCAAAGGATCTCTGGCCCAGACTGTGCGACCAGCCAGTCCCTGTCCCTTCCCCAAAGTCCCGTCAAATTGTCCTGCTGCGCACAGCGGCTTGGAGGCACTTTCAACGGCAATGGGTGGCAGGGAAGGATTTTTTTAATTGCTTGATTGAAAGATAAACAACAGAGATATATTGCACGCGTTCTGCTGCCTGGGAGCTGGAGATGTCACGCTGGGCGTGCTGGTTGGTGTGGTGGTCTCCATATCTAGACTGTGAGCGCCGTGGTGGTAGGGAGTTTGCCTTAGTTCTTATCACCCAGCTCCTCACACAGAGGCAGAGATAGCCAATATGTGTTCCCTACGTATTTGTTGAATTAACTAAATGACAAGATAAAGCAACGTCCCGAAAAATTCATAAACTTTTCAAATATTTTCATTTATATATCCCTTAACTATTTGGAATATGTTTTCTACTTATATGAGACCGAATCAATTCATAAACTTTTCAAATATTTTCATTTATATATCCTTTATTGGAATATGTTTTCTACTTATACGAGACCGAATTTGGAGCTTTTTGGAAGTCCACTCCAAGACACAGAAAATCAAGTTCTGAATTTATCGCTTGTATTCTTAGCAACCATTTGACTAGGCTATCTGTAAAGTGTGTGCTCCTGTGTCCTGTTCTTGTCTCAAAAATAGTATTTTAGTTTAAACATTTTAAAGAAAGTTATCACATACAAAATTGGGTTCTGAATGTACTTCGAGTGTTACCACCTGTTCTCACCAATATCCACAGCCTCTGACCCCCAGGTTACATGTGCAGGGGCACTGATACTATTTGCTATTACTTCCAAAATGAATTGTAACCATGTAATAAATTTCAAATCGATCTAGAATGCTTAATCAGGAATACATATACATTTAAAGAAATTGACTCAATCTTATCCCTTCCATGAATAAAATAGAAAAGTTGCAACTTTGAAAATAATTATAATGGGGGTTGATTGTTCAGTTTCCACTAGAGAAGAAAATACTTGGTAACACAGCAAGAAATGCATTTAAACTAGGAATGTACCAAGAGGTCACATAAAGTGTTTCATATGGACTGGAGTAGGTAGATGAGGTTTCCTGAAGATCTGTAGTTAATCGAGAAGGACTAGAAGGGGGAAAATTGAGGTCAAAGGTTTGGGGACAAGAATGAAATGAGCAGTCATGTGCTATAAAAAGTGTGACTTAAATTTGAGCAGATTAAGTGGGAAACATTGATTTCCTATTGGAGGAGCTCAAACATGAAATACTAAGCAAGAGGGAACCACAAAAGAAACTTCCAGGAACTTCAACTGTTTAGAAGCTAGTTTTGCTCAGGAGCATATGCGGTGTTCCATCATGCCTCACTTATCAAGTCTCCCTCACTAGGCTGCCAGAATAATCCAACAATAACAACAATGACTCTAACTCCCTTCTTACTTGGCCAAGAAGTCACATCACCAGTCACTCTTTGGAGTGAGATCACAAAACAGTGACACTGTTGAAGTCCAAGTTACCCTGGTAAAAAAGACAGGTGGGTCCTGTGGTGTCTGCTAATTCAGTTCTCAGCTAAAATTATTGTCATTCTTCCAGGAAGGCACAGAAGCCACGGTGAGGGAATTGTCAAGTTGCTACTGAGGTTTGCACTGGGAGCAGGATGGCAACCAATTCTAGATGACTGAGTAACGCACTGGGAAGCTGCCTTGGAGAACCAGCCAATGATGTGACAGTCCTGGGGAGGGTGGTGGAGCAGGAGGCTCAGATGGTTCAGGGGCTTGAAAAATAGGTCCACAGCCCAGGTGTTGGAGAAGAAAAGGCATCAGAAGGGTAGAACATCAAAAGCAAGTTATACCTCACATTTCACAATGTTATGGGGGTCGTGGTCATTTCTGAGATGTGTTGCCTGATTAATATTCATTAGTTATTGTGATTTAAAGTTATAAATCTGTGAAATCACATCCGAATCTGAATCTATCACCTATTTATTTACTGATTTATCCATGCGTAAATCAATTGATAGCCATATATCATTTCATATATTATATTTTATATACTTATGTTTATAAATATATTTACATATTTATATCTTTTGTATATCTAGACATATATTCTATAATCTATAATATTATATGTATGTGGGGGTGCTGGTAAAGTTTATTTAAATTATGCTCTATCATGTCAATCACATTTCAGTCCTGAAAGTTTGTATTTACAGAT